TCGAGAAAAGGTAAAAGTAGAGAGTCGGCCGACGGACTCGATTACAATTCTTCCTTTGCTTACGCTCGGGAACTTAAAATATGAATGCAATGATAAATTACGAGTATATACTGATGATATTTTGCACATTTTAGATAGGATTTATTCGGCAAAATTTTGAGATGATGTCATCAAGTTTTTGGGCTTGATAAACAGATATATTTTGATTAAAAAACTAACATGCTTACAGTAACTTCAAAACGTCTGCAATATTTCAAAATATTCAGTTTTACAATTCTTGATAATAATAAAGTTTATTTAGGGTTTTCAGTCAATAAAATAAATTGACCCAGTGATTAATTGTTTTGGGACACCCCGTTTAAGCAAAACTAAAAAAATATTAATGCAGTGATAAATCACAAGTAAAAACTCATCATATTTTGCACATTTCAGATAGGATTTATTCAGCAAAATTTTCAGGAGACGTCATCAATTTTTTAGGGGGAATGAACAAATACATTTTAATAAAAAAATTACTATGCTTATGATAACATTAAAGCATCTCCAAGATTTCAGAGCATTCGGTTTTGCAGTTCCTGATTAATTCAATAAAATTAATTCACCCATTCATTATTTTTCTTGAGTCACCCTATATAAGCAAATCTAAAAAATATGAATGGAATAATAAATCACAAGTATAGACTCATCCTATTTTGGACATTTTAGATAGGATTCATTTGGCAAATTTTGGGCTGGCGTCATCAATTTTTTGGAGAGGATCAGTAAATATATTTTGAATAAAAATGTATTATGCTTATCATATGTTTAAAACATCTGCAAGTTTTCAAAGCATTCGGTTTTGCAGATTCAAAATTAAATTGTAGGTGAAACGAAGTTCACCGGGTCAGCTAGTTGATAATAAAAAGGTACCCTTAGAGTACCGAAATCATAGAACGCTTAAGGTATTTTCTTTGTTACTTCTTAATGGTTAACCATATACTAAATGTTCTTGTTTTTAAGATTTTTTTTAATATTAGGAAATAAAAAAAGATCCTAGAAATAGTCTAAGCAGTTGAAATATTCTCAAAAATCAGGTAAAAATTAAACACTGCTTAGCACTCCAACGCCCAACATTATCTTTTTATTTTTCGATTGTCCAGCAATTATCTTTTCTTAATAAATTTATATTCTACTTTTGCTTTGCGGAAAAAGGTAGAATACATAGTTTATCAACAAATACAAGAAATGTATTGTATAAGTTAAAAACTTTGTTCAAAATCTTCCAACGATTTTAAAATTTAAGCCAATTTGTTAAATACAATTTTCAACACAAAGAAAAATAACCTTTAATTATAATAAACAAACAAAACGAATAAGCGAAAACAAAAAACAAAAAACGCAAAAACAGGACAAGAAAATTAAAGCAGGTGTTGGAAGTGAGCACCATTTGCACGAATACAAGCTTCTGCTCTCCTGAGTAATGAGTTACTGACTCTATTTAATTCTTCAGGATCGTTTCGAATCCGTTCTGCGGCCATCATAACTCTTGCTTCTAAATCTTCTAAATTATTAACTGGAGTTCGATAAACAATTGATTTCATATAACCCCATAAGTAGTAATCACAACTGTTAAGATCGGGAGAACGGGGTGGCCAAGCGATGGGTCCACCTCTTCCAATCCATCTCTCACCATAAACATTCGTCAGGAATTGTCGCACTTGTAAACTAAAATGCGCAGGAGCACCATCGTGCATAAAGTACATCCTTCGTCGAATGTCTAAAGGTACATCTTCCAATAACAATGGCAAATGTGTTTCCAAAAAATGAAAGTCCTAATTGTCTCCGTTCAGTCTTTCCGGTAGAACATATGGTCCTATCATTTGATTACCTATTATTCCGGCCCAAATGTTTAATGAAAAACGTTGTTGAAAGTGCGTCTCGTAAAAAGCGTGAGGATTGGCATCTGCCCAGCGGTGAGTATTATGAAAATTAAGTATTCCATCCCTAGTAAAACAGCATTCATCTGTCATCAGTATGGAAGAAAGAAATCCGGGAGTTTCATTATTGCTGTTTACTATCCATCGGCAAAAGTTTTGTCTAGGAATGAAATCGTTCGGACTTAAACTCTGGACCCGCTGGAGGTGGTACGGGTACAAAAGAGATGCTCGTAGCGTTCTCCACACAGTCCAGTGACTAACACCTACTTCTCGAGCAATTTCACGCGTACTAGCTGACGGGTCTTGTTCAACACGATTGATAATGTGCTCTTCAATGTTGACCATATCTGGATCTCGACCTCGTTCAATCTCCTGATTTTTAGGTAAAACTGATCCTGTCTCCCGCAACCTTCTATCCACGGCTGAAAAGGTTTCGCGATACGGTTGTCGACGCCCAGGAAAACGTTCAGCATACCGTCTTGCTGCGGCTCTAGCATTGCCTCCACACTGCCCATAAACAAAATGCATGTCTACATATTCTTCTATGCTGTATTCTGGCATTTTTTCTCAATGAGTATTACTGACAATGACAGTTATAAATCTAACAATAATATTTGAAACAATTTGAACAATGTTAGTGTATCTCGGTAACTAAGCAACGATGCTTTTTTTTAACGATTCCCTTGATAGATAGAAAGCAGATTGCCATTCCTAATTCGTTGCTAAGTAACAATAGAAATTTTAATAATGGAACGTATTATTGAAAAATTGGCCTCCATGCAGTTCCAAAACGGTGTGATACTTATTTTTAAGGTGATTTAAAAGAAAAACTATACATTTTTGAAAAAAGTTGTACATAGATTTTAGATTCCTTTTTTTGTAATGCCTTTGCTCTGAAAGTTTGTTGCAAGCATTTCCTAACACCCTGTATATGTAATATACATAAAATATTTGTTATATTATATTGATTGACATGCAGCACCAAAACAAAAACACGTTCTCACAAAAATGATTAATTATATATATGTATATATATTTTTTTCATACATGTTATAACCTACCTATAATGCTTTGCCCACCCATCAAAAATCACCACGAGCCGCCACTGCCATTATTATTATCAGACTTCGCGAAGAACTGTCAATTTTGTTGTACGTACCTTTCAATTAGCTAATAACACGTGACGTCACGCTGTGGCGGGAACTCAGCGTTTGACAAGCGCCGTGAAACTCCATAAGCGGCAATGTTAACATTTTCGCATTTTATTTAAAAGTGTGGGTATTTATCTAGAAAATAAACACGTGAATATCTTCTTTCATATCTTTCCTGTGTATCAGGGTGCTTTTTATTGGCGATTTGAGTTTAAAAATACATCATAAAAATAAAAATACAAAAAATGCTGTTTTGGTCTGAATTCCTCGTCACCCAAAATACATCCGTGTGTTTTAAGCGGTAAATCGGAAATTAATATTTTCGTTTGAGGTTAATGTGACGGGTGTAGATGAAGGTGTGTGATTTGTTTTTAAAGTATGGATAATTTAAGTGATTATGCACGATGTCTTTCCGTCAAAGAGAAAAACAGATATGTACAAAAGTTAAACAATTTAAACGGCGTAGATCCTTATAAAATGAGTGCAAGTGATTTTAATTTGTGTTTAGACGATGTCCCTACCATAACAATGAATACCATTCTAAACTTTTTTATTTTTGGAATAAGTAAAATAACCCACAATGAAATTCGTGCATTCAAAAGTCTAGAGGCATTTATTCAGTTTTCTCTTTTTTAAACGACTGTGTCTTTCAACATTACAAATATTATGAGTAGATTTATTTTGATATCCTAAATTTTGTGATGGAACATAATCAGGGTGATCCACATCCGACAAATCTGTAGATTTACCTAAAAGAGCACAAATGTAGTAATTTATTAGAAACTGTAAATCTAATAGGTAGTTACTGTACTCGTTTGAAGGCTTTTAACCAAAACTTCCGCCTTTTTTCCCCATCCTGTATATATTTACCTTTATTGTTGCTAACTGCTGGGAAAAGAAAATAAAATTTGTCCGCATTTCTGGTGCTTCAATTCGCGCAACCCACAACAGCACAAAATTTAGGCATTTTCTCCTAAAATACAAAATATTATAATATTAAGATGCTAGTGTATTTAAAAAACATTGATGTACATTAACACAGAATTAATTTGCAAAACAAATAATATAAGATGCAGCGAAGTTAACCTGTACATCACATTGGAAAACATTATTTTTTAAGGATATTCAAACGTTATGGTGCGTTTTACAGATATCTACACAGTCTAGAAACTGTAACAAACTTACCAAACTATAAAAACATAGTTGACACACTCTCAAATTTAAATGAATTCCGAAAATATTAGCATTTACTCTTATGAGAAAACCGGCTAGTTGTCAAACGCTGCCATCTTGATGACCTCGGATGACGTCAGTGTATTTGGCTAATAACACCCTGTACCAGAGACTTTAAATACTAAATATTAAAGTCTCTGCCCTGTACACAGAAATGTTTTCACAAATTGTATTTTATTGTAACTGTTTATATTACTGTAAGAAACCGTTATCGTAGTAAGTAACAACTACTTCGTCTTACCTGATTCTATTTTATCTTTGATAAAAATTTCTAAATACGTTCCTTCACCTCTTCTCTTGGTAGGTAGCAACCGGTAAACCCGATGACCGTTGGTTTTTACACAAAAGATTAGATTCTATGCCATTATAATCTTATACTGATAACTGCCCCATTCATAATATGCAAACAACAGCGAAATCTCGTGCAAAGCAAAGCTTTCTGGTGCCAGGGGGTAATCGCTAATCTCAAAACGAATCGAAATAATTTTTTTACCAGGGTAATTAATGTTCGGAAACGACAAAAGAAATAGTTTTTCCTCGCAGAATAGTAAAATGCCAGTGTAAAAGTCCATGTATATATAAGGTTTAAAACTTAGTAACTTACAAAAAGAATTGTTGAGGGCGATCAAATGCCCAGTTCTGTACCCGTTCGCTGCAAATTGGTATACAAACACACTTCATAATCTTACCATATAGGGGAATGTGGGGCAAAGCGGAACGTAGAGGCAAAGTGAAATTTTTGTTTAAAAACTAAATAAGTGCTGCCATCTGGGATTACCGTGCTAAACTATGTTAAACACATGCCAAAGGTTCCTTTAGTGTAATTTCCCTCCAAAACTTCCCCAAGTTTACCTATAATTGTAAAAACAAAACATTCTTGCAGTTGGATGTAAAAAAACGGGGTGCTTTACTAAAGCTTATAAAGACTATTACAGAAAATTTTAATTTGTTTCTGTATGAGTGCAATTTGTGGGACATTTGTCTTCCGTTGAAGGTGAGTTTCAGTTGTTTTCTCTATCTTAAATTTATAACCTCAATTTTTCTTGGTTGTTGGTACTATGGGGTAAAGTGAACTACTACGATGTGGGGCAAAATGAATATTTTTTTCACTATGCCCCATATCAGCAAAAAACTACAAATAAAAAAGCTTATTCATATTTTCAGAATTATATCAAAATGATCCGCAATTACAAACGAACAACAAATCAACAATCGTGGTGTAAAGATTCCATGGCTTATGCAATTAGAGATGTGCGAAATGTATCAGATTCCCGCGACAACATTATATCGACGAGTCAAGCCAGGGAAAAACGTTATTGAAGCTTCAAATAAATCATTAGGTAGATTTAAGTCAACATTTACCTATGATCAGGAGAAAGAGTTGGCGGAATTCATATTAGAAATGGAAAGTCGTTTGTTTGGGCTTAGTTTTAAAGAACTGCGTAGCTTGGCATATCAATATGCTATAAAAAACAAGATTCCTAATAGTTTTAATCACAATACTAAATTGGCGGGACGTGATTGGGTGTACAAGTTTTTAGAAAGACAAAAAAATATCTCATTACGTCTTCCAGAAAAAACTTCGGCGGCAAGAGCTTCCGCTTTTAATCCGACAAATGTTGGAAATTTTTTTAACCTGCTAGGAAGTTTGTTTGATACATTCCATTTTCCAGCTAGCAGAATTTTTAACTGTGATGAGACAGGAACATCGAGTGTCCCAAATAAGCCCACAAAAATATTTTCCCTAAAAGGAAAAAAGCAGTTTGGATGTTTGTCTTCAGCAGAAAGAGGATCACTGGTTTCGGTGGAAGTGTGTTTCAGTGCTGCTGGAACCTACGTGCCTCCATTGCTGATATTTCCCCGGGTAAGACGTAATCCAGCTTTCGAAAACGGTTTGCCACCCGAGTCAATCGTACACTGTCACCAATCTGGATGGATGCAAATGGACATTTTCTGCGACGTTTGGTTCCCACATTTCCTAAAATATGCTCGGCCATCTGAAGAAAGTCCCGTTTTATTAATTTTGGATGGCCACGCGACGCACACCAAAAATTTGAATTTAATAGAGAAAGCAAAAGCTAATCATGTTCATATACTCGTATTGCCACCTCATTGTTCGCATCGCATGCAGCCTCTTGACGTCTCATTTATGTATCCTCTTAACACATATTACGAACAAGAGACACGAATATGGCTAAGAAACAGCCTTGGCAAAGTAATAACATTATACAAAATTGGCCAATTATTTGGAAGAGCATATCAAAGAGCTGCTACTCTTCAAACAGCTTGCAATGGATTCAAAAATACAGACATTTATCCATTCAATCCCAATATTTTTCCAGAAGATTTATTCAAACCGTCCGAAACAACAAATAGAGAAGAGCAACATTCTGAAGCGAACAGAAATGCCTTTACTAATTCTGAAGCAAACGGAACCATATCTCCTCGTGCGGGTTGCTCAAAAGAAAGAACACCCTCTCCACAGGTATTTTCACATGAAGCGAATAACCATTGGACACCTCAAGATCTGCTGCCTTTGCCTAGAGCAGGTCCACGAAAAGACTCAGTACGAGGAAAAAGAAAAGGAAAGACAATGATATTGACGTCTACCCCAAACATGGAGGAAATAAAACTTCAAATAGAATCTAAACGCCCTGCCAAAGTAATGTCAACCAAAAGAAAAATATCATTAGAAAGCGAAAGAAAAAAATCTCAAAAAATCAATAAGAAAGAATCATCCGACAGCGACGACAGTGAGAATACAATTAGTGATGACAGCGATTGGGAATTTTTGTCGAAGAAGTCTTCCTTTAACGTAGAGAAAGTTAATCCAGGCACAAAGTTAAAAAAAGGAGATTTTCTTTTAACTGAATTAACCGATGAAAAATATCGTACAAAAAAACAATTTGTGGCATACATTACAAATAGTGAAGAAAATGGTTGTATAATTGTAAGCTTTCTAAGACAGTATAAGCAAACTACAAATATTTTTGTCTTCCCTGACGTGGCAGACGAAAGTGAAATAGTTTATGAAGAAATAGTAGGCAAGGTAAAGATAAACAAACTAAGACATGGCAAAATCCAAATAATATAATTCACGAAAATGCTTTTTGAATTCTATAGTTTCTATTTTTGTTAATATAAGCTGAAGGCGAATTGAGTTCCTTTGTTTTTGTTTTTTAAAAATGTTTTTTGAATTCTGTAGTTTCTATTTTTGTTAGTATAAACTAAAGGCGAAATGAGTTCCTTTGTTTTTGTTTTTTAATGTTTAATTTGTTCCATTGAGATTTTTTTTTATTTATTTATTCTTTATATTTCAATCATTTATTATTACAATAAACTATTTTTACAGATGATTCAAATTTCCACTTTGTCCCTCATTTTTTTTCACATTGCCCCATATATGGGGCAAAGCAAAACTTTTGCAGACCTTCCTAAAAAATAAAAAAAAACCGTAACACTGGTCCGCTTTGCCCCACATTCCCCTACATTAGCGCATTCGACAAGGTTGTTCGAAGAACGAGTTGTTGTGGTTTGTGGATTTCCCTGTTGCGTTCCTAATCCTAATCGTATTAGTCGTTATATACATTAAAATTTAGAACGTGCCGATGTGAAGAATACAAATTCAACAGACAAAAATCCCAACAATAAAAATATGGCAGACCAAGACGTGGACAAGCACAACAAAACATCAAATTTATCCGAAAAGTAAGTGTACCTTCCTCATAGTTTTAGTAGTTGTGAATTTGTCACTGTGTTTTTCAGAGTGGTTGCTGAAGTTGATAATAAGTCATTTTACAACAAATACTTTCCAACCGACCGAAAGACCTACAATTTAAGGATTCCTTTTGTGGGCTTGGTGATTTCATAAAATCTGGTTTATTACTAGACAGCGGATTTCTGTCGGGCTACGTCACGATTATAGGCATGGGCGCCCATAGGGGGGGGGGATGCCACCCCTGAAATTCTGCGTCAATTTCCTTTTTATTTGTCAAAATTAAACTTCAGCACATTTGTAAGAGTAGGTACATGCCCTACACTTTCAATTTTATTGCTACACAAACACAGAAATGTGACAAACTTAGACCATCTGGTTTTGAAACCCTCTGTTTGGCCCAGCTTTGCCTGGAACCATCATAAATCTATCCTCTTTAACCGGTACTGAATTATGGGTTGTATCGTTATTTGCTTTTTACAGTTATTACAAGAGCAAACATTTTATTGCTTATGCGTTTTCACTTTTTATCTATGGTGAAATGACGTGTAAAGACGAACAGTTGTTGAACTGGCGTTTTATTGACTATAATTTTTATTATTCCTTTATTTCAAAATTCGAGCGTAAAAAAAGTATTAAATTTAATATTTTATTTAGAAACAGAGAAATATGGATATTCGAAATTTCTTTAAGAGAAAAATTACAAATACTGATGATGATACTTTAGCTAATAAGAAGTATAAAATAAGTGGTGTTATTTATTGCAACTCATGGCGGTTTTTCAGAGTAGCCATCGACTTCGAGTGCCTAGTAGCCCTACAGAAATCCTCTCTCTATTTATTACTGCTTACTTATGAGTGATTTTTTCAGATATTGTCGGTTTGTACAGTGTACTTATTGACTATATGCATCTTCAATCGTGAGGAAATTTATCTTCCACAATGTCTCCTTATATTCATCGCCGCGGCGTTAGGATTTGAACTCTACTATGGATTGAAAATTGTAGGTGGTTTCTTGAATTTAAGCGACACGACATATTTGTAAACATTTCAATTAAATTTGCAGAGAGACAGACAACAATTCACTCCATGGATCATTTTCAAAGTTATAGAACTTCTTTTCACGTTTGTAGCAATTGTTGGGTTAGTATTAAACTGGCGCTGGAACGTAACCCTGTTATCATGTGCTTTGATTTTATTTGGTAAGTGGTAGGTTGTTTTAACAAAAACTTTAGTTGAAAAAAAACTTGTTTTTGAAAGTGAACAAAAAAATATATCTTGGACGGGAAACTTCTGTTTATTAATTCCAGTAGGATAAAATATTCAATTATTATGGCATATTGAGTATATTTTATTATTTTTATTATATGGATTTGAGAACGATTATAGATATATTTTGACATTGAAGTTAACTCCAAACTGGGACTCAAATTATGTTTTTAAAGGCAATATTTCGATACTCAACTTCGAAGTAGTTTTAAATAAGATGTAGTATTTCGTATGTAACGCGTTTGTTATTAGTTTAGGCCGATAGAGCCCAAATCCAAATACGATTCTGAGGCCACCTTCAGCATCATGAACATTTTTAATACCCACACATTTTTTTTGCTTTTGCTACCCTGTAGCTGGAAGATATTCCTTGTCCAATATTGAAAACAATTTTTGACGTACTCTGATAAAACTCACGTAAGGTTACAATATAAAATGTGCAGGGTGTTTCGTTACACATTACATTATAGCTGTATTTTTGAATGAACAGATTTCAATACTTTTTTTTTGTTTGAAAGCTGGTTTAATCAGGCTGTTGCTAACTATGTTTGATAATAAGCACTTCAATTATTTCAGGATTTTCAGGTCATAACATGGTTATGACATAAAGTTTTCTTTTTTAACAACAAACAACAACAATCTCTTCTCAACTTTTTGTATGTTTAAATATGTGCTGTTATGTGCTGTGCTACTGGACTACGTCAAAGAATTTTTTTAATAACCCATGATAAATATAGGTGTGCTCCATTTATATACGTTGCTGCTACCAAGTATCATTTACGAATTTTCAAGATATTTAAAGACGATAATTGCCTGTTGCAGCACTAAATGGCTGGATTACTTGCACCGTAATAAATACATCTTTAAAAATGTCACCTGGATGTAAAAACAAATCACATGTTCCTGATGACGATAGTGTTGACAAGACTTACAATGTTGTTTAACGAAGATTTTATGTACCTACTTCAAGTATCTACTTTAAAATGTAATTACTAGTGCACTTTTTTATTAACATGAACATTAAATATATCTGTGTTAAAATTTTGTATTTTGTGTACTTTATATGTTGTAACTATTGTATTATAATACATTTTATAGTTATTTAGCTTTGTTTCTATTGCTAACAACTTACTACAAGCATATATTTTCTAATAATTTTTTTGAAGTCTAATATAGGTTTTAAGACACCCTTCTTCAATATATCTTTCAGTAACTAAGAAATACGATGAAATCGATTTTCTAAAATAGGTATATCGTGTTTCAAGAAACTTTGATGGAGTTGATGGGTACAGTTTATCATTTTCAACTAGACGTCCTAAAACTACTCGCTTCTTAAAGATCTGACATTTTCATACGATAATCGTCAATTCCTTGCACGTTTGGAGCAAAATTTTTGGTCGGTTCGTTGCTTCTCTTTCGTTAGTAGCTAGTACTATTGAATTATCTGTGTTTGATAAAGCTACCTTGTGTTTATAATGGGCGAATATACAGTTTACGTATCTCTGAAACACCACCAATGAGTTACAAAGATCAAATGGTACCTACAAGCAACAACTGGAGTTGACCAATATGGGTCATAAACGATCTATACTTTTTTTTTAGCTTTTTCTACTTTTAGATGACAAAATCCATCATTCAAATCAGTATTTCTAAATATTTTCACATTTTGGAAATCGCCTAGTATATCTTCGCGGAAAAGAGTGTCGATTTTTGACCACTGTCGTTATATTTAGATTGGTATAAGAAAGTATCTTTAGTTAGATCACATTGGTAAAGGCACCATGTGTGCAACCAGATAATGACGTGCTGCCAACCACACTACATATATAACATCTCCCTTCTTTTTAATAATAAAGAAACGAAACTAATAAAACAATAATGTGTAAGAGAAGTCTAAAATCAACTAAAACTTCACATCCTACCTTTGAATCTTATGTAACAAAAATTACTAATACCAATGCCAAAGGGAATTACAAGGAACTCTTGGAGCTTGAATTAGTTTAACGATGCTGGATGCACTGTCAGAATTAGTTTAAATTTTTTTTCAGATTTACACATTGTACTTTATTATAACAACAAGAAATCCCTCCACATGATTTGCTGTGGACTTTGTCAGGTACTTGAAAATTAAGTCGGTGATCTCAATTACAAAATTTAGAGATCCGTTACAAAAATGTAGGTAAATTTAAATTTCGACCATTCAAACAATTTTAGCTGTAAGTCATATTTTTGTCGAAATTTAGGAGTTACGAACTAACTACATTTCGACTTGTTTTGAGAATTCTGAATGTCTTGACGTACTTACGATACCTATACGGAATCGGTTTACGAGTCCTTTGCGTAAAGGAGACGAGTAGGTACATTTTCCATTTTCTGGTAGATTAAGGGAATTCTTTCAAAAACTTAAAGAAACGTAACTTTTGAAGCTCTCTTTTATGATTTCTAACATTTCCGGCACCCAATGGACTTGAAAATACGAATAAAATATTCACAGTTCAGCTAGAAAGAATATTTTTGTCGAAAGGAATGAGTTCTTAAGTACATTTCGGCATGTTTTGACAATTCGGAACGCCTTGACGAACAGTTTTGCAAAGATGTTACTCAATAATTATAGCAAATGTGACAATGCAGGACGACAATCAGCTTGATATGGTACGTAGACCCGCAACTATCCGAATTGCTCTCATTTGAATGGCAAGATGCGTGACCCCATATTAAGATTCTATAACACAGAAAGCATTGAATGAGAGATCTAAAAGCGATTTTAGTACTTTTTTTTGGACACTTGATTTGCAAGACTTAATCTTATAAATCTGTGTATGCTGAGTTCTTGCGCTAAACGTTATTTTCTTTTAGTTCAACGGAAATATCCTTAAAAAATATTACAAACAACAAACGTCCCAGTACCGACCCCGGGGGTACCCCACGGCTGACAGGAAGGTTAGATGATGTTGTTCGTTTAAAGCTAATCCTCTGAAAGCGTTCTATTAAGAAAGAAATGATAATTTGGTAACTATCGGGATAGATATTATAGGTACACCTACACCTATAATTTACGAATAAGAGTCACATGCGATACAAGATCGAAAGCTTTCGTTAAGTCCAACTATGTCGTAATGCAGTAGTTACCGTTTTCAAAAACTTCAGAAATTCCATCTATAAAACTTAGTAATGCGTCAGATTTGAGTGCCATTTGTGGAGTCCAAATTGGTTTTTAACTAAAATTTTGTTGTCTTCAAAAAATGTCGTCAGTTGTATACATAACACTTTCTCTGAAATTTTCGAAAAGGCAGGCAATAGGGATATAGGTATATGGTTATTATCATTCATTTTACCTTTTTTAAATAGGTACTGGTATGACAATTCCCGTTTTCAAACATTTTTAGGAAAAGTATTGTTTTGTATGCATACATTTATTAATTTATGTCAGTAGCTTAATGATAACATCTTTCACATTTTTTATTAATTCCATGTTGAAACCATACATATATGAGACTAGATTTAGTCAACTTTAAATTTGTAATAACATCCCGCACCCAGCTCTCAGAAACTTCAGTAAAACGGAAATACATGTTAACATTATTACAAATAAAACCTATAGGATCATACTTGGGATCACGTACATTTTCTAGTATAGTGTTATGATGAACAGGCGAATAAAATCGGCGTAGCTTGTCTGAACCCAACTAGCTGAATAATAATGCGTTCCCGAAGGCGGCCTCTATTTAAACCAATATTTCGGCGATCTAGGTCTTTCTCGAATTAGGTATTCGCGGCTTCCGCTTCCAGGCTGTTCGAGCGCCGCTTCGAGACTTTTTCTGGGCCCGTCGCGACATCCGCTTGCATTCACGCGGCCGATGACTCACTCATACTTGATACGAGAAGACACGCGTACATACTGGAAGACCCATAGGCGTCGTACCGGGGCGGCGTATGGGTTTATTTCGTAACAATATCATTAGCGATGTTATGAAAATAATTGTTAAAAACATCGAGGGTGATGTAACAATCATAATTTTTATAATTTTATTTCTTTTGCTGTGTATTATGTCCCACATACCTATATATTTATTATTCGTTTCACGTTTTGCCTACTCTATGCTTTTGCGATACATATTTCTATAAAAAATGTTATATTCTTTAATTAAATTATTTTTTGTACATATATAAAAATCGTCTAGGAATAACAAATTAGTGCGCATGATTTGTAATTATAATAGTTAAATCATTTAACCTTGGCTCGGTTATCACAATTTTTATTGCCTTTGAGTATTTTTTTTTTCGAAAACAGAAAGCGTAGATTACATCAATACATTGTTTAAATTTGCAATTTATATTTATATTATCTAAAGCTATAAAAGTCCAGTCTAACTTCTCTAGATTATTATAAAATATAGTTTTTGCTATTCTTGTTAAGGGGCGAAATGATTTAGAAAGTATATACTTTACTTTTGTTTAATAAGTTTATCTCACTTTTAATTTGTAGACTAAGAGTGCTGTGGTCAGATATACCTACCTGAATTAAAATTAGTTACCCTAACTACTTGCATATCCAGGTTTGCGAAAATGTTATCTAAACCTTTTCTCAGTGAGTAGCCTTAAGCTATGACTGACCAACAAATTATATTTAAGTCACGAGTATTTTAATTGGGTACAGTAAATGAGGAGTTAAAATCTCCACCAATAAGTAAATTTTTCCTATTGTCATATAATAATTCTAAGACTTGATTCAAAATTGTCAGGAAATCTGAGTGCTTCTATATATGGAAAGAACAGTCAAATTTAATTCAGGGATAAACACAGTCGACATTTCACATACTTTCCTGCGACAAGCTGGTAACCTTAGGAGTGTTGTTGCAAATAAGGGAGTTGTGAATGAGAATCATCGATCCTCCATATCCTTCGGTTCTAGCAAAGTATCAAAGTATGATGACAGATTGTATTGATTTATAATAAGAGATTCACATTTTTGATTTAACTAAAAAAAATAATGTATTCATAATGAGGAGGGATTCAAGCAAATATATTTTATTCCGAGTTGATTGGATGCTGACGAACAAAATTTCAGTCAACTAGGTACCTATAAAACCTAGGTATAATACCGTTTTATACTGTATTTTATATGGTATTCAAATCTTGGAATGAATTTGTTTTGTTTTTAAGATTACGGAAAACATAGAAAAATAAAAGAATACTCTATTCACGAATATAATAAAAAATCACAAAAACAGTAAATCATGTCGTAGTCGTAAATATATATTTTTTCTATTGCATTAAAAAAAAACGTAAGTACTCGCAAATAAAGAGTGCATATCATATTTAAGATACCACAGAGCTAGAGCTTTGTTGTCACTCTATTCAGTCCATTCACCACCTTCTGCAGTTGGCCCCGTCATCTACATATAAACAAGGTCATCGTTGTTGTGGTTTGTGGATTTCCCTGTTGCGTTACGTGTTATTCTTAGTAGTTGCGTGGTCGTCGCAAGTGTCGTCGCCGGCGTCGCAGTGTAAGCATTAAAAGTTGTCGTGTAAAGAATGCAAATTAAACAGATAAATAATCCAAATAATAAAAACATGGCAAAGCCAGAAGTGGAAATGCCGAATAAAAGTTTATATTTGTCCAAAACGTGAGTGTAGCTTTACAGATTTACTATTTAATTGTTAATTTGAATTTGTCACCGTGTTTTCAGAGTTATTGAGGTTAAGTCATTTTACAACAAACACTTTCCAACCGACCGAAAGACCTATAATTTAAGGGTTCCCTTTGTGGGATTGGTGACTTATAAGACGATGTTAACTAGTGTTTATTTATAAGTTATTTTTTAGATACTCTCGATTTGTACAGTGTACTTATTGCCTCTATGTGTCTTTAAACATGAGGAAATTATTCTTCCACAATGCCTCCTAATATTCATCGCCATAGGAGTAGGATATGAACTCTACTACGGTTTAAAAATTGTAGGATTCTTGAATTTGGATTACATGATTACATTTGTAAATATTTGAATTAAATTTCTAGGGAGACAGAAAACAATTCACTCCATGGATCATTTTAAAAGTTATAGAACTTCTTTTCACGTTGGTAATAAATATTTGGTTAATGATGGATTTGTGGTTCTTCCTGCCAATTGTAGTGTATGCTTGGATTTTATTTGGTGAGTAGTTTAAGCAAAAGTTTATTTTGAAAGGTGGAAAAGGATGCACACTTATCTAACAAGTACTTTTTTTAATGAAAACTACATTATCGCAGATTACCTCAAAAATGCAAGTGAATATTTAAATTGGAACATTTAAATAGCTTTTATTATAAGTGGTGTTGAGTGTCAACATCACAAGAGTGCGATATATGTAATCTTGTATGTACAGCATTAAATTTTAACTTCTTGCAATACAAAAAGTGACTTGTTGTCCTCCGCGTTTATATGTTTATAAATGTGTTCAAGGTAAAAAAAATACAACTTTGGTGTGTAACCCTTAAATAGAATGATATTCCAACGCTTATTCTGAGTAATTTTTCAATTGCACACCAGTTATTTGGAAATAACTTGTAAGAATGTTTTAATAACTATATACGGTGCACTCTAAGTGTAGATTTTTTCGCTACCAGATCATTGGGACACCCTATAATTATAAATATCATTTACGAATTTTTCACAAAGTTAAATGCGATAATTGTTTGTTGCAGTACTAAATGGCTTGGTTACTTACACCGTAATAAATAAATCTTTTAAAATGTTCCGTGGATCTGGGAACAAATCAAATATTCCTGATGAAGATAATTTCGACGATGGCGATGTTTGCGAAGATGTTTAACGAAAATCTTATATGTACTTCAAACCTCAAATATTTTAAAGTAACTGTTAGGATGTTTTATTAATATGAATACTAAATATATATGTCAGTGTTAAAGTTTCGAATATTTTATATTTATAGTGTAAATTTGCCTATAATATGTATATATAATATTCTAGTTGTTTAGCTTTTCTCCTATTACCCAAAAAAATGACAGTGTATTGCAAGTACATATTTTTTATCAGAGGGGTATAACATTTTTTTAGCCGGAGTTATCAATATTTTCTTCCTGGGTTTCATATCAAAGTGAAAATAAGTGACTTACACTTACACTTAAACACAATAAACACTACTATTGTAGGTGTTTATTGTGTTTATATTCTGGTTCTAAGTAAGCTTCACAAAAGTGTATGGAAATTTTTTACTTTGCATAATTTTCAAGGTCCATAATTTGTTATAAAAGCATTGTCAAAACGTTTTTTCAATATTTTACAAAATTTGTGATTTTTCTAGAAACCTCTGTTTTTGAAGAAGTTTTACAAATTCTTTAAAAACTACGTTCAGTAAGTTAGTGCCTAATCCAGTTATTTCAAATTATGTTTATAAACGCTAAGTTGTAAAATGTCTTCCAATTACCTTATTTGTGACTTTTCGATTCGTAAGAAAATACAAAAAATATGAAATTCTTTTAAAACACGACGCTCAAAAAGTTTGTGTTTTAAATTTCTCTTGTATCTCCCCATAATTGGATAAAACGTAAATACCTAATTGCCTATTTTGGGAATTTCCCTTCAACCTTTGTAGAAACGGGCTATTATATAACATCACCTAACAAAGTAATATGATCCACATACCAACTACACGACTACAATATCAGCATAAGAATAATAATAAAATGTGCCTGAACATATTTCCTCAGAAATTGGATGTCTCGTTACCTCAAAATGTTAATCCAATTTCAAATGTGCAAATTAGTGCACCCCTCCCATCTTTACCCTTATATTTTTGAAAAAAATTGACTTGGAAATAATAAAACTGATTATTATAATATTTTGTAAACCCCTTTAATCTTGTTGTGGACATGGTATTGCTATTTAATTTAATTTAATTTAATTTAATTTAATTTGACGGGAAAACCCCAATTTACAATACTATAAACTATACAAATTGAAATTATCTTAGAAAATACAGAAAAAAAAACTAATTAAGTAAATAAAATCTATATACTTATAAACCCTTCGCTAATAATTTTCTTAAAGAATTGAAAATGAAATAAACTTAAATACTAACATTCTATCATACACTTTAATTTACAGACCTAAAATACACTTAATTCTAGATTTGAATTTTGATCTGTCACAATCAAATAATAAAAATGTTGAATTGTCCGCCATCCTGTTAGCCGTTTCCATCATACGTTTGATCGGATGATTTTGCGATTTGTTAGTCGTGGACACAGGTACCCTAAATATCACTGTGCTCCGAGTTTTTCTACTATTTGAAGGAGGTATTAGAAATGTTAGTTGACGCAACAAGCTAGGATTGTCTATGTAACCATTAACTAGCCCATGAAGAAAACAAACATCGTACATTTTACGTTGATCCTCTAATGACAATATTTTCAAATTACACATAATCCACGTATAATCCCCTCTTTGATGGACCCGATTAAGTTTGAATTCCAACAGTCGTAGAAATTTTTTCTGGACTCTTTCTAAAAGGTCGATATCTTTCTTATAAAATGGCGACCATACAGGAGAGCAATATTGAAGATTTGACTGCACCAAAGAAAAATACAAGGTTTTAAGAGCAGAGACAGATAATGTACGACAGTGACGCCAAATGAGCCCCAACATGCTTATTGATTTATTGAATATATAATGAAAATACTCCTTGAACGTAAGTTTGGAGTCTAGAATGATTCCTAAATCTTTGACTTCATTTACACGAATTACTGACGATTTCCCTAATTGGTAATCAAAATACAACACTGATTTGATATTAAAAAAAGAAATTATACAACATTTTTTCAAATTCAACGGAAGTAAATTGCTCACTGTCCATTTATGCAGAGTATTTAGGTCTAGTTGAAAATCTGAAGCATCATCAACAGATTGAATAGTTCTGAATAATTTCAGATCATCAGCATATAGTAAGAATTTAGAGTGCTGAAATCCAATTGTCAAATCGTTAACGAAAATTTGAAACAGTATAGGTCCACAATGTGAACCTTGTGGTACACCAGAAAATGCAAAGTATTGAGAAGACAAATGATTACCAATTTTAACTTGCTGAGATCTATTAAATAAAAACGATGTTAGCCACTTGATAGTTTTCCCACTGAAACCTAATTTAGTCATCTTAAAAATAAGTAACCTATGATTGACTTTATCAAACGCTTTTGAGAAATCAGCGTATAAAGAATCTATTTGACTTTTTCGAGAGAAAGCATCATTAAGATAACAGTAGTATTCCATCAAATTAGTTAATGTTGATCTGTTTTTATAAAAACCATTTTGTTTCTCAGAAATAAGAGACGAAGAAATCCACTGTAATTGTTTGGCCACAATAAAATCTAATATTTTTGGTATTACTGACTGATTACATACCCCCCTATAATTATCAATTTTACTCCGATTGCCTGATTTGAAGATGGGAGTTACATAGCTGTTTTTCCAAATTGTCGGAAAGTTCCCTAAAGATAAAGAAGTCTTAAATAACAAAAACAATGGTAATGAGATTGAAAAAACACAGTTTTTTAGCAGAATACTAGGCACTCCGTCTGGACCAGGATTGCAAGAAGACTTTAATTGAGAGATATATTCAAATATTTCAACAAGATTTACATTTAATCCACTATCGCATACTTCTCCATCAAGGCTGAAGTTAAAGTCTGAGTTGCTATTGTCATCAATAACATACACTGATGAAAAGAATTTAGCGAATAAGTTAGAGATATTTTCTCCACCATTGGCAAACGTATGAAAAAGACTCATTTCATTCGGGATGCCACGAGATTTTTTCTTATCATTAACGAATTTCCAAAAATATTTCGGATTATCTGTAATACTATTATTTACATTTACCAGATACAAATTATAAAGACGTGCGCTAAGATCTTTACATCTACTTCTTAACGCTTTAAAATGTAAATAGTCCGCATATTTTCCAGATTTAATGTAGGTTGAATGAGCAACCTTTTTATCTCGACACAAATCTATTAATTCTTTATTAAACCATTTAGGAAAAGACCTAGAACAATATTTAATAGTTTTTTTAGGAATGTATTTTTCAATGCCAGTGAAAATAATATTATAAAAGGTAGAAACCATCACCTCAAATTCAAGACCATCAAAAAGAAATTTCCAATCCACAGAAGCAATAAATTCATTGAGAAGATGATAATTACCATTTGCAAAATCAAAAATTACATATTCAGAAGTAACATTCTTAAAATCATATGATGAGTAGACTGACCAATGATATGGGATATGATGATAAGTTTCCGGAAGAATCGAATCAATGGCAGCGCAGACTTTTATATCTGTGATATTTGTAAAGATTAGATCCAAGAAAACGTTTCTATTATTTGGAATTTCGTTAACTTGTAGCAAGTTTAAAAAAGAGTATGTTGCATTAATGACATCATAATAATCCTTCGAGTTACCCAGCAAATCTAAGTTTACTTTGTTGTTTTCCCATACAAGATGAGCGAGATTATAATCCCCAGCAATTATAAACGAAAAATCTGAAAATTGAGAGTAGATGGTTTCCAACTCTGAACAGTGAGTATTATAAGTGTTAAGATCAGAAGCAGGAGGAATATACACGCCCCCAACAATCAAATTTAAATCACCAGTATTTACTTTAACATAAACGCTTTCAACACTGGTACCCAAGTAAACTTCAGATGAATTTAAACTCTTATTAACAGCAACCATCACACCCCCACCTCTTGATTTCATGGTCCTCTTCAAATCCCGATCCGTGCGATAAATATTATAATTATTTAGTTGCAATTCTTCATTTGATATTTCATCGAATAACCAAGTTTCTGTTATAATAATTATGTCATAAACACTAGAGTTAGCATTAAGAGAAAATTCCGTAAGTCTGCTTCGCATCCCACCCACATTGTGATAATAAAAATGAACTACTTTTTTGATGGACCTCCTTTTACATTTTGTTTAGCAATAAACGGGCAATTATTCTTGTACTTCAAGACAATATCAGATTCTCCATTAGCAGTTCTATCAAGATATTCTTTTCTCACTCGATTATTGTAACCTCGTTGCAATACGGTTAAGTCTGGACGAAAATGATATTCCCGGTTGGGATTAGACTTATTTGACCTTAAAATTTCTCTTGCCGCAGTCTCAGAGTCGTAGATAATTTTTAGTGGCCTCTTTACGTTAGATTTCTTGCTTCCAAGCCTAATCATTTTATTAGGCTGAGGAAACGTACCTAAGGGTGTTAAAATAGACATCACTTTTTGCAGATCTTCAGCAACTCTTCCTGCTAGTTCAGCAGCAGTCGATTCCGGAATATTAAACAGCATGACATTGCAGCTTCGTTGTTTGCGTTCCTCTATTTCTGATACAACGTTATTTAAATTAATTTCACTGTTTTCCACGGAAATATTATTATTATTCTTGAATTCGGCCCATTCATCCTGTATGATTTTTACATTATTTTCGACTGTGGCAATGCGATCATTCAACTGTCTAAAGTGATCATCCATTGATTGTTGCAGTTCTTTTTTTAATAACTCTAACTGCTTTGCCATAATACTTTCAATAACTTCAGCTGTAATAGAGTGGTTGGGTTGTTCATTATTAGTTTTGGTTTGAGTACACTTTCCACAAGACCATGTCGAACTGTTCTTAATAACTTCAGTTACTTCAGCGTCGGTTAAAGACGAACACTTTATATGGCAATATTTTTTGCAAAATCCGTTACATTTAATTGAGGGTGTTGTCGGGGTAATTGCTGAGTTGCAACTCAGACAAAAATTAGGCATCGTGCAGTGATAAGAATCAAATACAGATCTTAAATTAATGAATAAAATTAAAAAATAATAAAGGATATTACAGGGACACACTCTTCACGTTGACGGTGCCTGTCGTAACGACTTATCAATTAAACAAACAAGGGTAATAAGACAGCGGAATAT